AATCAACTACTATCAAATAATCTTCAAACAAAATAACTACTTAAATATTTTTTAAGTAGGTATCTTTTTTCATCTAATGAAAATGAAAGTCCAGCTTTGTTTTTATAAAATGTAACTCTTTAATCCCTGCACTTGGGAGGCAGAGGTAGGAGGATTTCTGTGAGTTCGAGGTCAGCCTGGCCTACAAAGCGAGATCCAGGTCAGCCAGAGCTGTTATAAAGAGAAACCCTATCTCAACCCCCACCCTAAAGTGTTAAACTGTAAAAATCAAAAGTCTTATATTGTATTTATTTGGGCAAACTAATCAACTCTTGTTTACACTTTAGGATATAAGTAACTATCGCCAGCTCCTATGACCTCACAAATGTGAAATACTCATTAGAGTAGGTATGTCTATTTCAGAAAGAAAGGGCAATAGCTTCCATACCATCATTGTGTCTGTGGTCAAGTCAAGTATGTCTGTGGATTAGATCAGCATAGAAAAAAACTAAGAGAAACACCCTCAAATTGACATGAAAGAAGATAAATCTTTTTATCTCATTTTTGAATTTGAATCCACCCTACCAAGAACACTAGAGACTCAGATTCAAAGGAGGCACAAATGGGAGTCCCCTCTCAAACATGAATCAGTCAGACTAGCAAAATGACTGCTCCCACACAGACTTCCTCACTTAGCTAAAGGCAAATACAGATCAGAGTTGTATTTGTAGACTGCTGTTGGACTTAAGTTTCTCAAAAATAAAAGTCTAAATAGCACATCTTATTACCATATAGTTTAACAAAACTCAGGAAACCCCCACTCAAATCAAATCTGGGAGGATCGCAAACACTGACTAGAGTGACAACATCAATGTAAGTCTATGTGCCAAGAGACCGTGTAGTCAAAGTGGAGATTTAGCGAACATAACAATGTAGTCAAGTTCATATCCTGGAAATATCTGGATAGGCAGTTTAACTCAGTGGAAACAGCCAAAGAAACACATTAGAGTTGAGGGACCTTGCTAGATGACTTAATATTTTAAATCAGTTTCTTCTTTATAAGACAGGAATAACAGCTTCATTTCACAGTACTCTTAGGAAGGTGAACTGGCTAATAGCAATAAATAACTTTAAAGCAGTCCTAGGTATTAAGACTTAACTCCAAGTTCACTTTGCTTTTTGTCACTAAACTGTTCTAACACATAGGACAAATAATTTGACCTGTAGCATTTTCTTACTGTCAAATTATGAAGATAATATATGCCCTCCACATCTTATAGATGCTGCCAAAAATCACATATGAAAACTCACACAGAAAAAGTCTTTGAAAAATTAACAAATATAACTGAGGTAGCTAATTCAGTGTGTATAAAACATGAAAGAAATTTGGGGCTGAAGATATAGCTAAGCTGTTAAAAGTACTGGCTGCTGCTCTTGCAGAGGAACTAGGTTTGGTTTCCAGCATCTACATGATACAACCAGCTGCAGCTCCAGTTCCAGGGGTATTCGATGCCCTCTTCCAGCTTCCTTGGATACTGTGTGCATATACATAACAGATAAAACACTCATATGCATAAAATAAGTAATTTCTTTAAAAAATGCATTGCTAAAGCATTAATTGAAACAAGAAAGAAAAGAGAGAGAAATGAATAAAAAAAAATAGCAAGCATTATGGTCTACTAAAGGTTCATAGGTGAAAGGGTTGGTGGCCAGCCTACAGTGCTGAACTTTTAGGAGAAGGGGCTTACTCAGACCTCCTCCACTATAAGTTCCTCCCCACATAGGACTGTCTATAACACAGGCCCAAAACAATGAGACCAAATATATCAATTTGCATGTATATCAATCTTAAGGAGCTGATTAACAGGAAAGTCAAATACTAGTGTGTGGAACTTTGGCAGGATACACTTATACACGGCCCCTCCATTGCCTCTGTTATGTAAGCAGCAACATTTCAAGCCAGTTCCCTTGTTTCACTACGGCGTCCTGTCAACACAGTTAGAAGAACTGGGGAAAGTCATCACTCCACAGAGATAATCACATAGCAGAATTCTTCATTTGGTAAAAATTTTATCAGTGCCAAATAAAACTAATGCAAATTTAGTAAAATATGCAAGACTTTGAGTAGTTCTTTTGTTGAAAAGGACTCTCCGGGAGCTTCCAACCCATCAGGCAATTGTCTAAGCCTTCTTTAGCTCCTTTGCCCTTTTCACACCCCATCTCTCAAATGTGGGGCAGGGGCAAAAGGAGGTGGGAAGCCGGAATGAACTAATCAGCATATATTTATGCATCGCTCTACTCTAATTCTATTCCCGCAGGTTTTTTTCTCATACTATGCTCCTCCAAAAAGAGAGCCATATTTATTCATCCCCCAAATACCCCAAACCTAGCCAATATCCTTCACATAAAGTCACCACTACCAGCTATGAATGGCAGGCAATGGAATGAGACTAGAGACAGAGATGTGAAAGAGACAGAGACTTCATCCTGAACCCACACCGCACACTATGGAAATGAGACAAAAGAATGGATGTTAGCAGCAGACATCCAATCAAATAAGGAAGAACCAGCAAACATACAAACCTACCATGTATGCTCCCTTCTCTTACCTCCTGTTAACAACCAAAGATTAGAAAAGAACAAAAGCAGCCAGTCTTTTCAAAACTATGTGTTTCTATCCCTGACCACAGTCACTGCATATACATACTCAACATGTCCATATGAGGTAGTTACCTATGTGGACTCCAAAGTCTGAGCACTTTGGGTGTGAATCCCACTTCTAACACTTACAAACTCATGGCAATGGGTAGGGACATAAGTAGTCAGAGGCCTTGCCCTACAAGATGACTTAAGGCAGCTCCCTGTGTCTCTATTTTTCTCATCTGCAAAATGGAGAACAATAAGTTCCTAGCACATATAACTGTTTTAAGGATTAAATGAATACATGTAAAAATAAGTAAAACCTTGCCTGGAATAGAGTTCATAAATACAATATGCTAATTAGTATCATTGTTACTAGTATCCATTACTATAGTTAACAAAACTAAAACCTGAAAGTAAAACTAGACTTTTATTTTCCTCCTAAACCTGTCTTCTCAGAAAACAGTACCTCTATTCTCCTAGTTCTTCTACCCAAACCCGGAAATGTTATTACTCCTCCCTTTCCTCAGCACACCCCCAATCAGTAAGTCCTGTCAACAGAATTGGAGTTCCACTTCTTAATGTCACCTCCAAAATTGCCTCTCTTAGTCTAAGGTTCCACACCATCTCCCCTCTCATGGTACAGCATAACAACAGTCTCCTGCCTCTTCACTTTCATGCCCCTCCACCACTCCGTGACTCTACTGTTAGTATGCCATGGAGTAAATCAGGAAACAGACAGACAGCATTCCCGTAATGGTACTATCTTGTTGCTTTTCCATTACACTTACACATAAAGTGTCTACTTTGACACAGGCTCCGGGACCCTACCAGAGTCTATCAGATGTTTCAAGGTTACATATCAACACTTCTTACTATGCTGAGACAGAACAGTCATTTGAAACACAGCCTCTCAAATCAGATGACCTAAATTCAAATGGTAAAAATTTTAACAGTGCCAAATAAAACTAATGCAAATTTAGTAAAATATGCAAGACTTTGAGTCTCTTAAGCTTTTAGCTTGAGTACGCATCTAACATGTGCCAGTTTCCTCATTTATAAAAAACAGAGCTAGTTCTCTTAGCTTAAAAGGCAGTTGGAAAACGTTCAGTGTTTAGAACTGGGCCTTGCATATGGTGAGCTTTCCAGGCCGAACGGTTATACTATCTCCATCCACCACTCCCAAGTGGTGGGCTTGGACTCCATCTGCAGCCTATGCAGTCCTTGAACTTGTACTCCTCCTGCCTTGACCTCCCAAGGAATTTACAACCCACCAGTTGGGCTCCTGATGGGGCTCCATACTGTCCCCTCACCAGCCTCTCGCCTTCCTGTTACTGCACTCTCCCTGTGTGAAACAATTTCATGTACCTATTCCTTGTCTAGCTCTCCACTGGGACTGAACTCTGCTAGCGTGCAAGTCTTTACCTTTGCCATCTATTTCTAGTTCTGACTCAAAGTCTGACTTCTGGTGGCTGATGCAAATAGCATGCCATACTTAGAAAGCTGCCTGTGCTCTTCATGGTCTCATCTAATACCAGGAAAAGTAACAAAAGTTACACTATCATCTCCCACTTAGAGACAATTTTTTTAAAAAAGTTCCAAGACTTAGATGACTTGTCTTTGAAAAGCCCTGCTTTGATTTAAAGGGTCCTCTGTAAGGATGTAATACCCTCCACTGAATTCACAGAAATGTGGCCCGCTTAATCTACTGTTTAAATCCATCCTAGGGTGTGTATATTCCCTTCAAAGTTCCTGACTAGTTCCTATACCAGAGTTTGAGAAGTATTACAATGTTGTAACTAACTCTTCACTAAGACAAGAGTTGACTACACCATATAAGCATACAAGCTGATTCTACTTATTTGTGTTGAGTATAACCTACTAGTTCTGAGCTGCTAAAAAGTTTTCTGAAAAAGATGGGGGGCAACGTATTGCCAGTATCTCTCTGATAGTGGTACCAGTTATCTGATCTCTGATAAGTCAATAAAATAGCTGAGATACCTTCAGGTTCAAAAGTCATGATCAGATGGGTCGGGTATATATATAATATATATACAAATGGGCTACCACATTCCTCGGAATAATGAAGATTTTCATAAGCGTTGTATTGGGCTACATAGGTTGGGTAGGCTCACAGGGTCTCAAGGCATTGTAGCCCTGCTGGAGGTGACACAGCATGTAAGTTGTCATCAGCCACCTGGGCAGTTGCAGGATCCCAAAGGTAGATGGGCACAGGGCTGCTAGTCTTTGAAGGGGTTCTCTATCCCAGGCTGACCGAGAAAGTCCTACTGCAAAATGAGAATGGAGAGTGGGACCTAATCTCTTTATCAACGAATTTTAGGGAGGGCCTCGCCAGTTTCCCGTTCCCAGGCCTTAATCACCCGCTCTTAGCTGTCATAGGCCAGCGGGAACGGTGCTGGCCGGGCTCAGGAATGGCCTCGCCTCCACAAGCCCGCGGTCCCAGGAGGGTGAGCTCCAACTTGGGACGGTCACCGGCCCGGCGTCACGGTCGATGGCTGCCGGGTCTCTCGAGGCTTCCCGGTGCCCGCGGTCAACACCGCGACCGTGACAGCGAGCAGCCCTCAGGCCCCACGAGCCCCACAAGCCAGGAAGCTGCAAGATCCTCGCAAACTTACAGTTTTCCTACTGCGTACGCGTCACGGCGGGGTGACGTCACGGGCCGGCGTTCAACGAGGTCAGCCCGCGGGCGCTGTGCGCTGGCCCAGGCCCCGCCTCCAGCGAGCGGCGGGAG